CGCTCGCCCTCGGCCAGAGCCGCGCTGGAAGCCGCCTGTTTGTTTATCTTCCTCTCCGGCATTGCTTGTTTTGATGGCACATCCTCCTCCTCCTCGGCGGGCCCCGGGGTCGAGCCGTGAACCCGCTGCGTCCTGTTTGCTGAGGTCCCGCGCTCGGCTTGCAGAGGCACGGAGCAGCCGCCCCCGTATGTGCCGGCCACGGCAGATAAAAATACGCAGGGCAAAGCATCCTGGGGTGCGGGGGCTATATTTGCACTGATGGTATCAGCAAGTTTGTCCCTGGCATACCTGTCCCTGCCCTCCCCAGAGCGGGGGGCACGGCGTCACATGGGCCCTCTGGCCCTGCTCGCCTTGCGGAGCCAGACCACTGGCTCTGGCAGAACTGGTGTCATGAAACATCGAACACAGCCAGGCTGGGGCAACTCTCAAAACCCACGGGTGGGCACCCCACGCTGCCATGTGGGGTCATCTCTGCAACCCAGAGGGACACCTGGGGACAAAATCCCCCCAACTTGCTGGGTCCTAGGCTGCTGGGAAGGGTGCCGGGGCAGCCTGAGGCACTCAGCTCTCTCTGGCTGCCTACTCTTTTCCCTCATGATGTGAACCCCTGGGCTTGCCAATAAAAGCTGCCGGCTTTGCCTCAGCTCGCCCGCCCCAGCCACTCTCCCTCCAGCTCTGCCCAAGCCCAGGCAGCTGCTCAGCAGTGAACCCTTGCCAAAAACTGTGTGTGTGAGCATCGTTTCCTAAACGTATAAATATTCCCAGGGCTTTGCTAGAAAACTCCCCGTGATTAGTTAAAATGCCCCTGACAGCCAAGTGCACGCAAGCCCAGGGAAAGGGCACGCTTTAAGCCAAGCGGCTGCGCAGCTCTGCCCTGGGGGACTGGCAGATCCCTTCCTCTCCACGGGGGATGCGGCAGAGGTTTGGGAAGCGAGCAAAGCTGTGGAGTTCTTTCCCGCATCCCACCAGCCCTGTGCCACACCATCACAATCCCTTTCCAGCCAGGTGGTGGTTACCACTACCCAACCTCCACAACGTGAAGCCCGGTCTCCCAGAGGGAGAGGCTGGAGGGACCATCAGCCCTCTCCTCCTGACCTCCTGCTCACTGACATTCAACCACGCACACCCCAGACCGAGCCCAGCAACTTGGTTTTCTTCCAGGCGGGCTCCCAGCCCACTTTTGGAGACATCAAGAGATGGAGGATCAACCGCCGCCCTTGGGAGCGTGCCCCAATCATTAATCGCCCGCGCGAGCAAACCCCAGTGCCTCCATCCCAGCTCTAAATTGCCTGGCTCTGGCTCCCGGTGCCTGGCTCGTGCTCTGCTGCTCTCCACAAGATTAAAGAGACCCCTTCGCTAACCAGCATTTTCTCCTTGTAAAGACCCTCACGCACTGTAATCAAGGCACCTCTCAATTTTCTCCCTGATAAGCTAGACAGAGCTCTTCCCTTCCAAGTCTCTCGATGCCGGGCTCTCTCCCCAGCCCTCAATTCATTCCTGTGACCAAGCGCTGATTGTCCGGCGTCTTTTTGAAAACCCAGACACAGGAGTCAGTTGCAGCGTTCGCAGGTCTCCACGTCACATCCCGAGGGACCCCAGCCCTTCGGGCTGCTCCTTTTTGGAGCTGGCAAATGGAGCACTAAATTGCCCAGTGGCTCTGAAATACCTGCCCAGAGGCAACAAGGGCTTCCAGCCCACCCTTCTGCTGCAGGAGAAGAGGGGAGACTGGGGTGAACAGCCAGATTTGGTGGTGAAAAGCTGTAAAGCCATGTTTGATGTTCCTCCCTAACACAAGACCTAGGAGGCATCAGGAGGAACGACGGGATGCCACGCTCAAACCAAAGGCAGCAGCTGCTCGCATCTCACAGCTCATTGCCGCAGGATGGTACATGGGCCAAAAGCATCATCAGCGGATTTATAAAGCAACGCGATGAAAAGGCAGAGAGGACAGATCCTCCCTCGGCAGACTGAACGCACAACTGCACCCCTCCACCAGCCTCCCCCCCACGGCCGGTGCTCAGATCCGACTGCCAGGGGATGCAGAGCGGGGACATCTCCCAAACCCTCCCATTCCCCGTCCGGTGCTCCGGCCCCAAGACGCTGCCCCTGGACTGTTCTCAGGACACCCAACTCCAACTGCCCTCCCATCTCTTAAGTCTCTGCCAGATGACCTCCCCACCAGCTGCTTTCGCAAGGCTCTGCGCAGGGCTGCGTCACTCCCCTCCTGCCCAGCCTGCACCCCCAGCACCTTCCCCCGTGCCCCACACCCTACCCGCTCTCGGAGGACTCCAAGTTTCAAGCCTGACATTCATCTTTAGCAGATGTTGTTCAGCCAACCGTTGGACAAAGACACACTTCATCATCCCCCGGTCCTGGCACATCCGCCTGCGTCCTTCCAGCGACAGCACCGAAACATTTACCGACTGCTTCTGCCATGCCTGCTCCAGTATCAATCATTTTACCACCTCCGTCTACTAATAAGCTCATCCCGTTGCTGGGAGCTTGGGGTTTTCTCCTACTACACTAAATAAAAGCCTTTCCTTCTGTCCTTCGCCATGATTTTTCCCTGATGTCTTTAGCTTCTGTTATCCATTTTCTACACTTCATATATTCTAATTTATATTGACTGCTATCTACTCCCACTCTCCCATTTGTTATAAACTGCTCTTTTATTTCTAATTGCTGCCTTCACTTCGCCGCTGAACCAGAACGGGCTCTCAGCCAGAGCTGCCCTCTTTCTTGATTGTGGAATTGTGGCTTTTTGTGGCTTCTGAAATTCTTCTGAAAGAGCTCACCATTTTCATTCACATTTTTCTATCTAAATGTTTCCTCCGAGCTGATTTCACTCATAATTTTCCCCCTGCTTTGGGAAATTAGCCCTTTCAAAGCACGAAGGATATAAATTACTGCTCAAGAATGTCCTTTCTTTGCCCAGGGTGAATGTAATCTGCTCACGATCATTGGTCCCTAGGCAACCTCCAAGTTGCAGTCCAGCAGTGAATGCATCTCTATCTGTCATAACTTGGGGGGAAACCAAAGTTGCTGGTGCTGGATGCAATGCCTCTCATATAAAAGAGCGATCATCTCTCATTTTTAGAAACTCTGCAGATGGTTTATTGCTGGCTGTGCAAGAGCACCAGCGTGTGTCTCACAAAGCGATGTCCTCCCGAAGCCCGAGTGACACCACTGACGCCCGGGCTGACTGCCTGGTCCCCAGCAGACACCACTGTTCCCTGCTCTTGCGCCTTCATGGCGAGCACAGGAACACTCAGAAGCATCCTGAGATATTTGCATCAAGGGGCATCAATCGTTTCTGATCTTGCCACATTGGTTTGAATCATTGTAACGCTTCTGTGATAATTTCCAGTAATGAAAAGGGATCAGAGGAAAGACTCTCTCCTTCCAGCCCACTTCTCCAAAGCATATGTCTGATAGCGATGTCCTCCCGAAGCCCGAGTGACACCACTGACGCCCGGGCTGACTGCCTGGTCCCCAGCAGACACCACTGTTCCCTGCTCTTGCGCCTTCATGGCGAGCACAGGAACACTCAGAAGCATCCTGAGATATTTGCATCAAGGGGCATCAATGTTTCTGATCTTGCCACATTGGTTTGAATCATTGTAACGCTTCTGTGATAATTTCCAGTAATGAAAAGGGATCAGAGGAAAGACTCTCTCCTTCCAGCCCACTTCTCCAAAGCATATGTCTGATTTTAGAGCTGAGCATGCCAAGGGCGGTGGGCACGGCACAGACAACAGACTGAAAGGCACCTGTCCCCGCAATGCGCCATTGCAAAGCCACCCCTAAAAGCAGCAGATGGACCAAAAGGAGTAGATGGCTTCTCCCCATTCACCTGCTCCCTGCCTGCCATCAGCATCGGTGTTTCAGGTCGACGGCAAGTGCAGGAGGCAGGCGAGGACGCCCCAGTGATGGCACGCTCCCGCGGAGCAGCCAGCCCGGCTCACATCCCCAGTAACTCCCAGCAGCCACGCAGCGGAGAGAGGGTGACAAAACACAGCGCCACGTCCCCATCTGTCCATGCCAGGCCTGCCCCCAGCTCTGCTCGCCCCGCAGACCAGGTGCAAGGACACAAGGAGGGCCATGGGAGAGCCAGTGTGTGTTAACCCTCTCCAGGCAAGTCCAGCCATCCCCACCAGGGTCCCCATCCAGCCCAGCACACCTCACACTGGGGCTGCTGGTGTCGGCGCCCCACCACCCCTTTGCTGAAGGAGGGAGGACTTGCACCACTCCTTACCTCAGCCATGAAGTTCTGCTGAAACGTCTCCTCCTGGAAGGGCTCTGTCCGCAGGCGGTCTGCAAGGGAGAGCAGGGATCAGCCTGGGCAGGTCTGGCCAGGTTCCCCTACCCTGCCCATGGGGCGAGAGGGCTGCAGGGGAACAGCTCCAGCACACTCATCCCAGAGCCAGTGGGAGAGGCCAGCGGGCCCCTTGGGCTAGAGACACATCACCCCGTTAGCAGAAGGTGCAAGGACCACAGGGAAGTTGGGGAATAAGTTTGAGCCTGTTGAGGCACACAGATAGCAGAGCCCAGGCTCACCCACACTTGTCCCAGCACCCTCCCGCACAGAGGAGCAGGGGACAGCAGCACGACATGCTCAGCACCATTCCCAGTTTGAAAGAGCTGCCTGGGTCTGAACAACGCACAGCCATGCTCCGGGACTCTGGGACTCCGGGACTGCTTGTCACCAGCTGCTTTTCTGCAGGGGTCAGCCAGCCTGTGTCCTGCTCTTGCAGGACAAGGACAAACCCCTGTTATCCCTCATTATTCTCTGATCTTCCCTCAGTGCACTAATTTTTCCCCATCCTTGCTAAGATGTTGTCTGGAGAAGCATCTGGCCAGCCTTGCTCAGCAGCGCTGGTGCAAAGCTTCCTCCCAGCTTCCTGCCCTGCCCAGGCAAGGGACCGCCTGCCCACCAGCACCAGTCCCTGGACCCAAACCAGGTTGTTCTGGCTGCTCCAAGCCCTGCAAAGCCAGCATGCAGCAGGAGAGAGGGGAGCATGGCCAGGTCTAGTGCAGCTGCAGGGCAGATCCAGGCTGCTGTGGTGGGGTACCTGCCATGGAACAGGGTCTGGACCACAACACCTTCCTGGCTGTGATACACAAGTCGGTTGGCCCCTGTCGGACCCCTCATCCCGAGTGGACAAGATTCCCGCAGAAAGGCAGCTATCATCTCTGGCAGCAGGACATAGCATGGTGCTAGCAAGGGACAACCCAAAAAGCAGTGCCCAGGAAACCTCCATGGGTGGAGGACAAACCTCCCCCAGGTGGCTCCCCCAGGCAGGTCCCGACCCACGTCCTACACGAGGGGGTTACCTCCCGCCCGTCCCCCTGCCGATGGCGAGGCAGGCTGGGGGCTGGAGGGGGCCCATGAACACGGGTGGGTTTCCCGTGGCGGGGGGACCACAGA